CTTTTTTATTTTCAGATCTAAATTGTACCTAGCTAAGATAAAATTTGTTACTGAGACTTTGCAAAGTATCTATTTTGTCTTCGTTTTGCTCTAAAATTAAAAGTAGAAATTTTCTTGAAAACTTTATGACTGTCATTTTGGAGATGCTTCCAATCATCTAAAACTATACATGCCAGAAAATTAGATTTTCACGCTAAAATTAATTTGTCAAACAAAAAAGAGTGAAGTTCAGTATTTATGTTTGTCATTCAAAACTATGCAATCATAACGAAATTGTATTCATCGAAAAATTTCTAATAATTGTAGAAATCATTTTTATTTAGAATTTTCAGCTGATGCGCTAGTCAAAGTATTACAGCACCCAGTAAAGATTATTCAATCAGCTGAGCGACCGATCAGAACTGGCATTCATTTCGTAGAAATGAAACCATACATTTCAGATAATCACGCATTTCGAAGATTCAGATGGCTTGAGAATTTTATGCAACTTCATAATTATTATCAAATTAACCTAAGAAATTTGTATGATAAAGCACGACAATACTTTATGCAAGCAAAAAACTTTTATGTAAAAATTATAGAAAATAAAGTAAATTTAAAGTATGCATGATAAATAATGGTATATTATTAGAAGAAAATGATCATTAATTGTAATGAAATAAACTTGAAGTACTGATGCGCATGCATCAGAATCAAAAATACTTTTACAGTTATTAATGTTAATAATTATTATAAAATTAAGTGTGGGTAATTGAAAGACATTTTTAACTTCAGAAAGAAAATTGAATTAAATTTAGTATTGAATTCGATGCTTAATAATTAGAACAACAAAACTTTTTGAAAACTGTTAATAAAGTCAAAATTCCTTTAATAGATTATTTCTTGAATTCTTCACCATCGATAAACTTTATCAATACTTTGTTAAATAAGCACTGCACAAATATTAATCAGTTGCATTTAATTATCTTCAGCAATCAGATTACACAAATCACAATTGCTCTGCTAATTTTGTTGTGTAACGCAATTTCTGTATCTAAATTTATTAATACTATTTGAAGTTTACGAATGTTGCTCTGAAATCAGTTTTTTAAGTTCATACAAAATAAAATTGTTGTCTGAATTGCTGGCTAACTGTATAGCATGTATTTTTTCAGTACCGACAAATGTATCTGTTAATTTCGAGTAAGGAAAGAAGAAGCAACGCTAAGACATTTGTCAAACGAAACTTTGGTTTTCAATTAAGGTAATCTAGAAATGAGATAACCAGGAATTGAATTTTAGGTTAGCTTCATCTCTGCTATTTTTTGAAAGTTTCGTATGACAAACTTGTTAGCATTTGAATTTAAAAATAGTGCAATGATTTTCAAAATTCAGATAACGTTTTAATTCATTTACACCAAACTGGCAATTGTTCTTGCTTATTTTTCTTCTACGAAATTATTCTCTCGAATTAAATAAGATAATTATTCAATTGAAAGTTTTTCTTGTTTGTTGCAATTACTCAAAAATCGTAATTTAAAATTCCTATTCGAAAAATGGAGATTTGCACATCAGTTACTAAAACGGTCTTTGAATGCCCTTTACATATGGAAGTTCTGAAGTTATATTCTGAAAGGATATAGTAGAATTTATCTTTCAGAAAGTTTGATCATAACTCAGAAGTTTGATCTCAAAACCTTTCAAAATCATGCAAAACCTTGTCCCATGACTAAATTATCAGCATAACTTAGTCAATTTCCTCGACTTCTGCTTTAGATACATGCGATGATCTCGTACACTTCAACTTGAAAGTAAATAATGACAAAGAATGACAATGCAAATGACAAATTTCGATCATAACAATTGACGCAAAACATTTGAAGTAATTCGTGACTTTTAGTGACCCTTTAGAGAGTAGTATTTAGGTTAAACTATGCGAGAATACTTTTTAATGAGAAAGTTATTATATTGAAAACATTGTTATTCCTTTACCTCACTTTTAGCATACTTCAATTTTCTAATATTTGGTGTAAGTATCCTTTTACCAATTTTCAAGCGAATAATTCCATTTTTTTCTCATTTTTTTCCATTAGACAGATTTTAAGCGTTCACAGAAGGAGGGAATAATTGAAGAATGCAATGACTACACTTTGTCACGAAGTGTTTATCGCGCAAGCATATTACAGTGAAAAACAGGAACAGAAATTTTTTAACAAAAATTTTTGAACAAATTTTATTGGTTGTTTATTATTAATTTCACTTTCTAATTTGGCCTCATCATCTTTGTGATACACATGTCAAGGAGATTGTACGACAAAGTGATGGTGCCAAAGTCGATGGTGATTTTTTTTCAGAAAACTTTAAATGAATAGCTAAGGTAAGCATACTGATGATAATATTTGTGATACTGACTGTTGTGGAAGGTTATTTCCCTGAAATATCATCCAAAGCACCAGAAATATCATCACCATGTTTGTGTCATTTACGACCACCTTGCCCACCACCATATTATTGTCCAATATCAGTTGTTTGTCCGCCACCACAGCCGATAATCTGCCCACCACCTTGTCCTCCAGTTAAACCACCGTCTTGTCCGGTTATTCCTTGTCCTGCAGCACCACCTTGTCCCATATTTTGTCCTCCAATCCCCCCATGTCCTCCACCAGTAATTCGTTGTCCCAGAACATGTCCACCGGCTTTACCACCTTCACCTAGTCCTCCAGCATATTTACCACTTCAATACGACAATAAATTTCCCCACACAGACTTTGCAGCTACACCTTATTTCTCCTCACATCAGAATAATAATAAAGGTCGATACGGATATGGTAACTGCGTAATAAATGGTCCTTCTGGAAGCATACTTGATCAGCAGCACTTTGACTTCCCTAGTGAAGCTACCACTATGGAGAACATTCATTTTCCTTCCATTTCTGAATCAAATTTACAAGTTGAACCATCTATTATTGATCATGAAACCAAGCAGACTTCCACAGCTAATTTTGCTAATATTGATGCTGATTTGACGACTACTCTACCAGATATTTCGGAATTGCAACAGGAATCAGAAATCAAAAGCGATCAACACTCATTATTTCAATTATTAAATATTGAAAAAACAAATTACACCACACAAGCAGCATATACAAGCCAGAAAACAGAGAGGAAGTACTTCATCAGAAATGGCTGCCCGCCGAATGATAGCAGTTGTATCGACAACGATGACTCAGGGACTCTACCAGAAGTTATTGATAATTTAATTTTGCACATTGAATAAATATTAGTATCTTTTGTTTGAAATTACAAACAATTCATCAAGTTAGTGGGTATTGAATAACTTAAAATTGAAATGTTCTGGCAAATAATTTTGTTTATATTCTTTAAGCAAAAATTTAGATGCTAATAATTATAATGATTGACTCCTAGAATGACTGCTGTACAAAATGCAACGATCCATGCCGTTTCCGTCAAATGCGGAAGATTTTACTAACGAGAGACCAACTTCGAGAAGTAGATCCTATCTGCAATAATGAATTATTGAAACAAATAATTATTCAAGTTTGTTCATTCGCTTCACTTCCTCCCTTTTTAGAACGAAAAGATTGCGATTATTTTAACTGGGAAGTTAATGCTGTTTGGGTGTTACAAATTTTCACGAGCTCATTTCCCATCTTACTGTTAAATGTGCATATTCATGAAGAATACCATATTCTGAATCCGTAATTAATTTAGCTTCGTTTTGGCTTGCTAACTAATCGCAACTGTGAATCTTCTCAAAGCACTTTTTCAGAACTCTTTATTATGTGTTTTGAACCAACTAAATGAGAAAACAAAAACTACTATCAAATATATTCTCATTTAGAACGAATTAGGACTGAAAAGAAGCAAAACCCATTACCACCGCTTCGTCATTCCAGTTATAAAATACTAAAAAAATCTCTCTAATTAAAGCTCATACTTATAAGATGCAGAAAAGGACTGCTTGAAAACTGCTCAGACTAACAAATTAACTGACACTACTAATTACTTTGCAAATTGAAACATTATTTCAGTACGCAAATGATAACAACACTAGGACTAAAGTAGAAATTCAACGTGCTGCGCAACAACTTCTTGGTGGATTATTTGGAGTCATATGTGGAAGCGATGATTTCGCATACATCATTCAGACTAATGACTTTTGTCAACACCGTACTGCGAATACTACTTGTTATGTGTTCAGATCAAAAATGATTTACTGAGAATTAAATGAAAGTTCTCTGATTTGGGAAAGAAAATGAGGGTCTGAAATCAATGTTACGTAAATTTATTTCCAACGGCCGGAACAGATAATACTATTGCTGTAATTCGAATTCATGAAAGACTATATCCATAACAGTCAAAAATTTCACATTTATGAAAAAGCACACATATATTGATGGTACATTATTTATTAGTAAATTTGGCTACTTTGACAAATTTTCATCAATAACCAAATTTTATTATTATATTCAAAAAACCTAATATTCAAATTATAAGCAAATTCGCGTATTTTTTAAACACACAATCAAAAAACTCAAAGTTTGAACTTTACAATAAATGAAAAATAAAATATACTTGGAAAAGTATATCAAAACAAGGAACCTTTTATACAAGAAAAATACACTACAAAATTTAGCAGGAACGTTAATACTAACAAGATATCAATGACCTGTTCTCTGTACTTGCCAATCCTGTAAAATTAAAAAACTTAATACATTATTTGTCCAATCAAAGCATATTATTTAACACAATCCGAAAATAACTCCCATCTTTACTCTTATAAACGACAAAAACAAATTTTCATTCATTATACCAGCTAAATTTAGATTTTCTACTAATTTGGAGAAATAAAAATTCACCATTAAGAATCAACAGCAAACAAATCATAGCCTTTCTTCAATCGGAATCATTTCACTTGCAAAATATAATACAAGTTTAAAGCAACCTGTTGACATAAGGGACAGCGATTATTTTGTTTCACCCATAAGGCCATACAGCAATTATGGAACGAATGATTGCAATCGCCCCATACCACAACACATTCATCCTGTTTATTTTCTGTTTGACATCGCAAACATGCATCTGAAAATATCAACATCTGTTTATTTTCATGAAAAGCACTGCGAAAAAGTATCCAGTGTACAAAAACAAGATTCATTTCCACGGAAAAATACCAAAATCTCATTATTTCTAGGAGATCTCTAACATAATTAAAAATACTAAAAAAAAAACAAGGACTAATATTTAAATACTTCACTTACCCATAAGTTGAACTCGGCAAATTGCACACGTGTCACTCTCAACATCCCACGACCACACAGCAATTGCATTCCACTTTTTCAGCATGAAAGGACGTTGCTCCACAGATGACGAACTACTTGACTTGTCCATACGTATCTATAAAAATATTTGAATGTTTCTTTAGTATTTATCACGTTACATCAGAGGATGAAATGATCAACAGTACTGCAGTTTCAACTAAAAGCCAATCAGCATCACGTATTTCCTTCATGTTAAAAGACTGATAGAGTGATAGTTATAAAAACCCAGAATGAATAAAACTCATTATGGTAGTGTGATGTGACAAAATTCAAAAATATCAAAATGAGAACTGAACTACTGTTTACGATGTACAGTTTCAGTGACAATTGACCTTCCAAATTAGTCAATAAAAGCTCTATTCCGCCGTATCTAGTTTTTATTACATCAGAACTATTAGTATAACAAAAATAAAAAAGTGCACAAAAGATAAGATCGAACAGCTGCCGTGTAAAGATACACATAGTATACATAGTATACGCATGAAACAAAGAACAATTGCAATTCTCATATTCAAAATGTTTCCTAGCAAAAAATATAAATAAAAGAAAAAATAAAAAGAATCAATTTAAAGTTAACAGACACTTTCAAAACTTTCGGTAAAAATCCTTATATAATTAGGAAAGCTTTTACAACTGTTGAAAACTGATCGACGTCAGAAATACAACGTAAAATTCAAAAAAACCATTTCCTATAAAATAAACATTTTTGGCGCAGTGTAATGAACAAAAACATTACATACTTTAAAAACCATTATTTACTTATTTATTATTGAACACAACTGATTATATAAAAAGACTAAAAAATTTTTGTAATTGTCATCAATTGTTCGCACTATTTTTAGCAATTGGATGTAGTTACCAAATTGAAAAACAAGCATTTAAAAAATATGTTCTCTAATAAGACATTTATTAAAAGAGGACTTATTCGACTTCGTTCTTACCTTATAAGAATTTTGATTTCAATTATTATAGTTGTATGCAGAGAATCACTGCAATACTTCAGAGATAACAGAATCAGATAAAAAAGTCTAATCTCATTCAACCAATGATCCCAAAGAAGCTCAACTACAAAAACTCATTTTTTTTAACGCTAATTGCTTGACATTTACAATCTTAACACTCAAGCAAAGACATCTTAAGTTGTTGTTCTCAACTTCGAGCTATATTGGTGCTTAACAAAACAGACGTGGAAAACCAAAAACTTAGAGCTTATAATCAATAATTCTTCAAAAAGCTATTGTACACACATAAATATGTATGTGCCACGTTAACTGCGAATTTTTGATCAGAAGGTTGAAGCAAGGCGCTAAGAGGAACGTAATTTGGCGAACCTTCAATGTAATCAGCTTTATTTAACCGGATCAAAAATTCGTGCCGCTTTCGAACTGCACCAACAGCAAAGCGTAAGCATACAGGCCATTCTGCAATCTGCGCATTTGTCACATTCATCGTGAACCGAAGATATCTGAACGTTGACAGTAGAGCATTTGATTCTGAAGTAATGCATACATCATTTATTAAAAGCATTTTGAAAATCCAGAATCATTTAGAGCTGCTAAATATAAATTCTCAGGCTTTAACTATGAAATTACTGACTATATCATATTGACATAAAATAATCATTTGCAAGAAACCAAGTGCTTAACACGATTTTCGATAATAAAAGATTTTAAGGAAATTATAGAGATATCCATTTTTCTAAATTATCTTTCATATTGCAAAAAATATTTATCAGCTAATGAATTGTTCGACTGTATTCAAATTATTTTTAGAGTAAAATGCATTAATCATATAAACCTTTCGCACTGAAGTATGTTTGCTGAGTACCATTTTATATTTTAAAATAAATTATGCTATACATTAAATTTATTTGTCAATACTATTACTTACGTATCATGAACACTCTCGGATCTTTCATCAAAATTGCTTTAACTTGTTCTTTAGTAAATTCCATCTCTTCTGTTAGCATAATGACAAGTCTCTGTAAAAAAAAGTATATATTCTAACTTTCACAGCAAAACGTAAATCCAAAACAAGTTCCAACTATACTAGAATAATACTGAATTACAGAATAATTTTATAGCAAAATAATGATGTTAGGATAATTTTATTGCATAATAATAATAATGACATACTTCAAGCGGTCCAATACCATACATGATAAGTCTTGGTTCATTCACAATCACATCACGCACTTCATCTCCTGTCAACTCAAATGTCTTTTGAATCCAACCCAAGCGAGAATCAGTTGTTGTAACATCTATATTCAACCAGAACCTATCAACGTAAATAAAATTCAGATGCATTGCAAAATCTACTCTTGCCATCATTTTCGGATACTAGTGAACACATTCTTACATATTATACAAAATAAGCAATAGATAGCTTCTGTACACTTAAATAATCATGTATACTTAGATAATCATTCACAGATCACCTAACTAAAAATTTGCATCTTAACAACTCGTTAGAAAATCTTTATCCCGAAAAAAATTTGAATGATACACAAACCTACTGTTCTTTACAATTTTAAGTACTTTCGTTTTACACAGTCGCTTTGCATATAAATAGTTTAATCGTACCTATAACAGTGATTTAAAATTATTTTCGGAACTGAAATAACAAACAATTAACTAATAAAGTAACAGTAATTGGATTTTCTTACCTGCATATTTTCTAAACTTTGTAACAAAAAGTAAGGATTTCGAGTCAAATAAGAGCCCACATCCGATATGGGCATGCCAACTTGGTGAACAAGCCAGATAAGTTTTGGCTTAACATCTTTTTCCCAGTCTAATTTCACAAGCTGTCGACTAATACGAGAAGTTGAGTCTACCTGTAAAATACCGAGGTTAAATTTTCAAGCCTGTTACTTCTCGTCACTTTTGACAAAAAAAATGATAAATTTTAAGAACTTTGCAAGATAGTGATGTTAACAAAATTGAACTGAAACGAAATGTCAAAATAGAAACTGTGAACATAAAATAAATCAATACTTCAAACAAATCTACGCCCAATTCCACGAGTATTTGTAATACCGGTAAATGATTTACATAGTGAGCAATAGACCATGAATGTGTAGGAGGGAACAGTGAAGGATTTGATAAGTTTAGTGGATGCGGATTGCTTCTGAATAAAATAATAACTCTCATTTAAATTTTAAATAAATGAGCAAATACTTTTGAAATAATAAATGCTTTCACGTTAGGAACATCAAAAATGACAAACCACTAAAATGCATTAATCTTCAAGCTCCAAACCCACTAAAGTTGAAAACTTCTAATTAATTTTGCTACTGTCATGCAAACAAAAAGTACTTTGAAGGTGGTTGCGTTAAGTCAGACTTATCCAACTCTCCTTCTGTATATACAACAGGTCTGAATCGACTTGCCATTACTTTCGTTTTTTTTTTGGACATCAAAAACGACTTCTGGAGTGAAATCTAAAAGACTTGAAATTTTCAACGAGAACGAAAAAATATGGCAAATAAACACCTTGAATCGATTTGAAGTCATACAGATATGAAATCCTCACGTTAACTTCATTCTTTTAAAAACTAATTTGAAATATGATAGAATAATGAGTAAAGAACTTACACTTTTGCCAAATGTATTTCTTTCAATCGAAGTAATTTCTTCTGCTCCATTAATTGTAGTTAAATATTGCATATTATTAAGGATTGCAGAATTTTGCCTTTCCTCAAAAACTTCAATGCAACTTTCGAAGCAAGAAACAGGGAAAAAGTCTTGTTGAAATTTACCACTTCATAATTACTTAACTTGTGAATTTTAAGTTTTAATATATCGTGGAAAAGATGCCTTAAAACAAATCAATTTAAGAATGAGAAACTTACTTTATCATTGCTAACTCCTGCTGCAAGCCGTTTATTTTCATTGACAAATCTATTTGCAACACAGCCATTCACAGCACTGCTATGAATGCTTCTGAAGCTATGCCTTGCCAAGTTCATATGCGAACTCTCAGTCTGCCTTAAAAGAATCTCAATAGAAAAAAACCGACCAAGTACACAGATACTCAAGAGAGTGATATATATCTAGTCCCAAAATATGCAGTCGTTGTATCCAACCCATTTTTTCTATGTACACAGAGATAAGGCCGGAAGTCCATTCATATTCATGATAGAGGAAAGGAATAATTCCAAATCAATGCACTCAAATGGATCTCCTTTTCAGTGTTGCGAAAAAATAACAATGTCAAATAAAGCGAAAATTTTTATTTCAATAACAACGTTTGTTACAGATATTAGCTTTAATGGTGCTTATAGATTAACTGATATTTCGATATAATAAAAACAAATAGCTGTAAAAACAGTGACAACGGCATAGCGAAATCAGTTTTTTCATACATTTATTAAGAGTCTGAAACGCTTCAATATACAGGTGTTTATTGTTCTATAAAATTAAAAATCATTCAATGTTTTTGATGACGCAAACCAATAATTTGTATATCTAATTTTTTTAAACAGCAGAATTGATGGAAACAGATAAATACGCAAAAGCTAAATTTTTCTCATTTTAATGTTTTTGAAATTAAAAAAACAAAAATACACTCAAAATCATTCTTAATTCTCAGAAAATGAGAACAATAACTAATTTTTGGCTGAGCTGACAGCAGCACTAGGACCAAGGAGCATCTGTCTTTGTTGAGCAACCTGAAAACATCAATAATTTTTTGACGTAACAAAAGTTCTGTTTACTTAAAATTAGCTAAAAGATTATCTGTCAGATATGAAAATGCGTACGACACAACAAGTTTAGGTCATCTTAATAGTAAGCAAATAAATAATAAGCTATGATCATTACAACAGCATGCACCTAATATTCTTCGAGAGATAAAAAACTACATTATAATAAATATCGCCGCTCTCTCTGTCCATAAATCATACCAACAACTGTCATGATTCTTTTATTCTCTAAGCTTAGATGTGACAATTATATACAAAAAAACGTCTGAACAACAAAATGCTAGTAGATTGAAGAAAAGTTAGTCACTACACTCTGCAATTTACAAAGGAGGACAATAATAGTAGATTAATGAATGGAAAACGATGCAAAAAAATAAACCTGGCTTTTTTCAAATTCAGATCGTTCTTTTTCAATTACATATGGCAAGACTAAAATCATCATAGACGATGACACGATCCATAACGTAGATCTCATGAATGAAAACTAGAATAAAACTTCATGACTATCAGGTAAAACATTTCTATACTGAATCCCCATACAGGTTAAAAGTAAATGCAATTGATCCTTTAGAAAATTGGCAAAATACTGTAATATAAATTACAAACCGCATGTCTAGCAGCCCACACGGACCAGTCAATTGATGATTCCAATTTGCATCTAAATGAGTCAGGAAACATTTCACGTAAACCCCAAAGTCTCTCTCCAAGTGTTTCTTCAAGTTCGTCATCCGGAACCCGATCCCACTCATCACCACTAATTTTGCCACGCACTGCCATATTAAAAGTGTATCAAAATATGGAACTTGCTAAAACACGAACACGACTAAAAAAACGGAAAAATAAACGGCAAAATATTAATCCGAATGCAACTGCGAAAATACTCTAGTTTCAGATGTGAATACCAGAATAAAAATAACATTGACATGAATGACATATGCAAATTGAACAAAGAAGCAACAATTACATAAGTCATAAACTTTATTTCGACAGCAAACAAAAATACAACAAAGAGATCTGATTTTAACAGAATATCTTGTAACGTGTCTTAAAAAATAAGCTCTAAGCAACGTAATCCATCATAATTAGCTTTTCACTATGTTTGAAATTGCAAACTAATAAGAAAAGGTAGCATTAGTGAAAAATTACAAACAGATATCATTACTACAACAATGTACAAGTAATTCTGATCGAAAATAAAATACGGATTCATTTTAGCAAAACAATTTTTTTTCTGCTTGAGATTAATACTGAATTTTTACTAGTGAAAATAAAATTGTTATCTATAAAACTTTTTGGAAGAAAACCATACAAGTTGCTAAAAAGAAAAGAATCAGACACTAAATTAAAAAATGAGTCGAGATGAAGTGAAAGGAAAAAAACAGATACAATTGTTTATGATGTTTCAGCTTTCATTTCAACCTCATCTACTGCCGCCGTCTGCGGCTGACAACTTGGAGCGACTTCTGTTTGAGGAGTGACTGAAGCATGAGTCGGACTATCAGTGATTACTGAGCGTAACATTTGTGCAGATGTTTTAGCATCAATAAATAATTCGGAACACTCTTGCACATCCTCTTTCTAAATAAATGTTTTAAAGAAAATTAAACAATGCTATAGATATTTTGGAATCGATAAATATATTCAAATGTACCCCAAAATTACTGATGAGAGAAAAATATTTCATTTTAACTTAAGAAATAAAGAACTATTCATTATTTACAACAATTTAAAGTAACGATACTTTAGGTTAAACTTCATCTCCTGCAGTAAACAGAAACTGTACTATAAATAAATACAAACCGTCACGACTTCTCGATGATTTACTTGCGCAAGTAATTTCGCAGGAGTAAGCAGTTGCACAACATATCTTAAAGAAGTTTCTGCGCCAAGTTTACTCAAATGTGATAAGGCCTCATCATCTAGTTTCACAGCCTCTGCATCTGCACGAACCTTCACTATAGCCAATATTTCTTCAATTTTATAAGGCTTAGTGATAATTATTAACATACGATCAAGTAGATCAGATGGAACGCCATGAGGTGATATTAATTCTGTACCTCTGCAAATAAATTATCGAGAATGTTACATTATACAATAAAGCAGAAAATATTGAAAAAATATTGAAGCAAAAATTTGCAGGAACAAAATTAAAGAGTGCAATGATAAGCTTAGATTTTAAATATTGCTAAAAATAAACTTCTTTCGAAATGAAAAACTAAAATAAGCTTACCGAACTTTGCACTGACCACGATTAGTAGCAAAGATTACAATAGGACTAATCGTGCTCTCTAGTGCTCGATGTAGGTACGTAAAGCATTCAATATCAAGCATATGTACTTCATCAATGAATAATACTCCTGGCATTAATTCAGCGATACCCTAAAATATGGTATTGCATTAACCCACTTCATAAATACTATTACTATTAATGTAGTACCAAATATGCTTTAAAAATTACTTGTTCGATATAATCATTGACAACTTTGTTCACTTCTTGCCGTAATCTCTCCGTAATTTCAGTTTTCTTAGGTTTCAAAAGTTGTCCGACAAGTGAAGTTACATTACCAGCAGTACCATGTGGACGCGCATTCGCAACGTCCAAATCGTGTAGTGTGACATCCTACAAACTCTAGTTAATACATGGAAATGAAAAAAATTACTTCGTTTTGGAATAAAAGACGTTTGAAGCATCCAGTACCTGGATGACTTCTTTGGACTTGTGAACATCACCCTTGGGAAGAGGCACGAATTCATCTGCTTCTAAATCAAACTCTGTCGCATATACATCACATCGCCCAAGTCTCTGAACCATTAAAATTGATGTAACTAAACATAAATGTAGTTAACACTGTGATTAATAAGCTAGTAACTTTCTTCAACTCCAAAAAAGTAGTACAATTCTATGTTATTGAAATATTTCATCTTACTGGCAAAAACTGGTGAGATTAGATTTAAACCTTGACTGCTCCACTATTCGCCTCAATATAAATAACATCTCCAACATCAATTTTTTGTTTCAAAATAGCCTCATAAATGGATGGATCAAGTTTTAATTGCTTGCTCCCTTTAGCAGTTTTCAAGCCAATCAACACATGCAGTATTGTCTGTAAATGAATAAAGAAAATTCGAGATTAACTGACAATAAGCACATCATAAACCAAACACTAATGTATAGAGAAAATCATGCTCAATAAAGACACATTTCTAGAGAAGAGAAAGAAAAGACCGAGAGCTTTCATTCTTAACTGCATTTAGTTAGGTAAACGAAATGAAACAAATTTTTTTACTTTCTTTCTAAAAAGACAATAAAAGACCAGGAAACACACTTTTCCGTAGCCACCTATAGCATTTTCGTTTTCCACTGGTGTTAATTCTGTCACTTCCCCTTCATAAACTTCTTTTTTTTCCCGTACACGTAAACCTAAAATGATTCATAACATCACTAGCTGATTTATTAATTTCATTTTGTTGAAAAAATTTGTTTCACTCAGACAAGAAAACTGAACTTCGCCGCTCTCCTATATTGCAGTCTCTTTTACACAAACAATTAAATTGTGAAATTACTGATATAAACGATTATTAATGAAATAAGAACCAATTGAACGTCGAAAATTCTCCATTAGCACTTCCGTTTTTTTCACCTCACTGGAATAGACTTCAGAACCAACCATAGGACAAAATGGCATTTTGTCACCCAATTCTTGCGCCATAGCTAATGCTATAGCTGTCTAGAAACAATTATTATTAAGAAAACATCAAACTTTTAAATATTTATGTGCTGAAAATTATCGTTTTCTTTTTATAAGCTTGTATTCAGAATAGTTATTTCTAAATAATCAGTAAAAGGTACTTTTCCAGTTCCGGGTGGTCCAGCAAGAAGAACAGCACGCCCAGCCATGCGCTTTGTGCGAATTAAATCGACTATGACTCCAGCTGCATCTCGTGCTTCTAATTGACCAATAAAACCACATGCCTAAAACAAATATTTCTTTGTAGTAGAAACTATATCAATTATTTCTGTTATACGAGTAACATAAGTTAATAAGAAAAAGCTGCATAAGTGAAAGCGAAATTACCTGCGATCTTTAAAAATTCTGTAAAGAACTACACGGCAAATGCAAACATTAATTATTACCAAGAACTCAATAACAAGAATCCAAAGATGTAAAATTACTGCACATGCAGACATATTTCATGCTCAGAAAAAATTCTTAATTTTTAAAAACACTTAAATGTATGATAAAGTGTTGAATGTTTTCATAAAACTTACGCTATTTTTTGGTACATGAGTTTCAGAATCTAATCCCAATCCTTTTACATGACTGTGTGCTGCAACTCTCTGTTTACGAGCAGTTGACTTTACCTAAAAATACGTAAGTAAAAAATTACTATATAATGGTGTCATGTGTAACATATGTTGACCTAATCATTTCTGTCAGAGAAAAATTTTTTTGACTACCGAAAAACTACCTTAAAATGTCACCATACAAAATGGCGAATTTATACACAGAAAAATGAAATTTCAATTATTACAATAATTTCTTCGTTGTTTCATTCGAAATTGGTTTAAAAATGCTAAAAAAGGAGCTGCAATCAAAGAGTTCAAAAACCACTTCAAATATTTAAGCTTAGTTACGAAACAACCTGTATTACGACTGCTTCTGATATTGTGTGATTTCAGAATAATAAACTAAGAAAGGCAAAAGTCACAGACTAGACTTTTGCTTAGTCAGGGCTCTACAATTAAATTTTAAAATTACTGATACAAACGTTAAGACTGCATTTTCACATTTTAAATTTCTTTTCCTAATCTTTAAAAAAGCAAAACATACCTCATCAATGCGGACTAATTTAGTAGATGAAATTGTAGCACTCTCGATGGTCATCTAAAATGAATAAATTTAGATATCATCACGACTATGAAAATGTTTCGACATATTACCTACTAAGCACGAAAGTTATTTGAATACATTTACTATTAGTAATCCCAATTACTAGAAAATATGCAAAACTCCCTCAAATAACTGTTGCAGATTTACAGCATAACGCTAGAAACAGTACAAGAACAATCAGGAAATTCATATTTCATAATGTCCCTAAAACATATCCGCCATGTGCAACAGCAGTATCGAAATGCTACATCGATAGTATGACGATGCAATAATTGTGAAGCAGACCATATCAATATCAACTTATTCAAATTCAAGTTTGGAATTGCATTCACTTGATGAGTGACAGAAGATGAACTATAGGGCTTGTGTGATTGTCTTCAGAAAGCTTTGTGAAACTATTAGAAGTATAATGCTTGTGTTGAGAGAGAAGCATAATCTACTCGTAATGGTGTGCAGAGTGCGAATAGATGTAACGTTATAGTTGTCATATTTCTAAGGCAGATGCCTTATCATAATGATCATATTTCAATTCATTAAATCGAATGATGGACCATCTCAAGGAATTAATTGCAAGTTTTATACAAACGCTCACGAGTAAAGACTCACTACGTTTTAGAAGTTTTGCATGCCGCAACACGATGTCAAATTTGAATTTTCTTCCGACAGTAGGAATCTACAAAATATGCATTACTCAAGACAACTTTGCTCAAGCGACAGATCAGTTGTAAGTAGAATGTAATTTTATACTTAGCATTTCCCTCCTTACAGGACCAGACCTTCCAATCAGCTGCAATTGACATTCTCGATGAACAGTTCAATTGTACATTGCAATCGCCTCTTCAGCAAAACATTTTCAATGAGTATGTATGTCGAGTGATCAGTTTACATCAGTAATTTTCATAATAACTGATGTTTAAGCGTTTTAGGAGCCGTGTTGTTAATGAACCTCATTTTTCAATATCGCAGGTAAATTCTTAGATCAAATCCACTATGTTATCATTAGATACTGATCACAAATATTTACCGTCGATTACGATTACAGGTAGTCTGTTGATAAAAATGTCAAAATATTAATGTAAATCACGTGGACTTCCAGTCTGAAGTGTAATTTGCTGGTGACTCATCGCCGAAATACATTGAATTTCAGTTATTTTTTGCTGACTGGATAGAAGAAACAGCGATTATGGTTCTTATTGGACAGGTATTGTATTGAGCAATTACCGCATAAATTTGGCACTATTTTGAAGAGAACCTAATTTTTTAACTTCTACAATAAAAAGCAACATTTCTACTCATCGCTCAATTAAAGACACTCTCAAGAATAGTACAGGGCTTGAGAATTTAATTTCGAAATGGTATGATAATAAGAAGCAGCAGTGAGATATTTAAATACTATTCATTTTGTTGATATTGCGTAAGTGCTTGCAGTTGAACTCATAAGTTTTTTTAGGGAAATATTCAGAATTTGGCATATGACTTATTGTATTGGGTATGCTGGTGAATCCATCTAACGAGTTGAAGACAGTAATGAATCTCCATATTTTATAATTATTGCATTTGAAGACTTAACAAATTTGGCAACTTTAAAGCATTTCATTAGCGTGAATAATAAAAAATTTCATTGCTGGTGGTTTTATTATTAAATGAAAGAACATTTTAGGTACAAAAACCAAAAACCATGCTTCAATTCAAAAAATTTTCTATCTGTATCGCTAGATTATGAGTAAAGAGTTAAACCAACTACGAACACCATAGTTTATAAACGTTGTAGTGTTTGATGGTCATTAATGTAAAATGATGGATAAGCGTTGCATTTGAAAAAGCTCAGTTTTTTATTAAATTGAGCAAATTGTACGAGTTTATTTTGTCACGTAATTAGTGAAAAGTATTGATACTTGTGACTTGGATAAACCAATAATTTTAGGATGCTGACAACCAATCAAAAACATCATTTTTTTAAATCAAAGAAATACGATTTTTATGGTTTTTTATTTTCATTTTTTAGCCAAATTATAACTATGAAAAATACTGTTTGAACTGGGATAAAATTGAAAGTGCTCACAAATTGCTGTCATTTTTGAGCGTTCATTAAGGAATTACTTCTAAAAATGTATTTTGTAGAGTAAAATGAGAACTATTTATAAAAAATAGTACCAATTAATGTAATTTTTAGGACAAAAATTTATTTATTAGTAAAAAGGAGATGGGTAATCTCAGCAATTTTGTGTTTTATGTCAGATATATTAATTTTTACGAGAACATGAATCGTAATGCATATTTATGCAATCATATTTAAATCATGGAGATTGATTTTTTTACCACTACTTTTACTTCTCAACTTTGACCTTGTTCAGTTTCGGCATAGTTCTCAAGTATGAGAAAATTCATTTGAGCTCACAACATTAGTTCCATTTTTTCAGTAGATTGGATAACATATACTGAGAAAATGCTAATATAGTATTGAATTCCTTTAACAACCATGTATTACTTGCTTATTGAGATCAGTGTGACATCATCATAATAACAGATCAGTTCTAGCAAAATTATACTGGGAGAATCTTGTGATTAGTTGGGATTTAATGACAAGTTCACAATAAATTTAAAGCCTACTTTGGTTAGCTTAAAGATTACAGTTTGTAGCAGAAGAGTTATTCACGCGTCAAACTATTTATTGTCTGTAATTTCTTGTGATAAGGAAGCAAAGTAGTAAGTGCATTATTCTTTTCTTTGTTACAAAAATTCGAAAAAAAGTACAAAAGTCGAAAAGCTCGTACGTGGCAGATGTCTGATGAGAAGCATAATAGTTAATGTCAACAAAAAATTCAATCAATCTGATGACTTCTAATCAAATACTTTTGCTTGCACTGATTGAACGAAATTCCAAGAGTAAAATCCAAGCTAAAAATTTACCAGTTTAAGATTCTAGCCTGGTAAGTCTTCAGTAGCCAGTGCTAATCTTAATAATCAGAATAGCTTGTATTGCAGGCAGACTATTTCTTCCTTCTCAGGGAACTCCATATTCTAAACTTGGTCTTACTGAGCCGACATCTCTTTATTTGAATTTCTTTATTTAACCTTTTTTATCTGATTCATTTTTTCAAATCAAAAGTGATTTTCATCAGTTTCATTTTATTCTTTGCAAAAACACTTTCAAATTCATGTCTGACTCACTCAGTGGAATGCAAAATGATCAGTGGCTGAGTACTGAATTTCCGTACACGTTTTTTTTTCGCTTTGTACAGTACTGTTCAATCGAAAACAAAACGGAACTTTGATAACAGCGAAAATAAAGAAAAAATGATTACAGTAGCAAAATATATGCTCGAATTTAAAACGCAAATAAAGAATATTTCAGAATTCGGTCCTTCTGCTTAATATCATAATTTTTCATTCCGTAACTTCTCTAAACACTGAGCAATTGTATGAACATTCAGTTCCATCTCTCCAATATAATCCTCGTTTTTGAAAGCTGGAAGCATAGCTGCCGGATATAAGGACTTTAGATTGTCTGGCAGATCCGGTGGTCTTGGAGCAACATTTTCTAACGAGATTATCTTCTTCTGACTTGCTCTACAAACAACATTGCTTGTCATCTTCCTTTTAATTCATTTTTGTTAGTTAAAAATTAGTATTAATAAGAATTATTGCGTACGTTTTTTTGCAGCAGAAAAAAATAACGAATATGCATAGAGTTGAACAGATGTGCGCAATAAATGGTGAGAAACGGAAAATTTCACGTGCCACAGCTCCTTCGACAAGTTCTGGAAAATGATTCTTACAGATCACTTAGTGTCATCTACTTTTATGGTAGCATTGCTGCAATACGTGAATGAAATCTCTCAAGTCAATTTCGTTTCCTTCACAAGAAGTTAACGCATGTAAGATCCATTTACTTTATTATTATGCTAATGATACCTTTACTTGAAATCAGTTTCATATATGTTTAAGTTTTTATTTTATGGTGTCATTACTGTAACATTCAAGTTAATATACGGTAGCGTTAACAAATTTCGGTATGGTTAACAAATTTCATGTAGAATATGTTTTAACGATTTTGGTCAAAATTTTGTCGCATAAAAAAGGTTTAATGATCAAAAAATAACCGTAAAGAATTAAAAGCATTGCATTACTTTACATTAAAGCGAAGCCTTTTTTTACTTGTTCACAATTCAGAATAAATTCAGAAAAACTTGTAAGACTTGAAAGTAATTTCTTCGTCAAACATTTTATCACTTTGACTGTACTCATCAAATTCAGCAAGCTATACGATTCTGATCCATTGAACTTTGCCTACTTTCCGGCACTGCGCTAGGAACAAATTCAATAATGGATGTTAAAAATGACATTATTATTTGGAAATGTCAAGAACCCACCTGTACAATATTCTCCCGTATATTGTAATACGCAGCTACATTTCAAATACTTCAAGGATGGAGCCTGAGGAAAGTTAGCAATGCTACAACCACCATGTAGACACGGATTCATGAGATTTCTATACGATGATAAATCGTTGATCTCGTCACAGTCTTGTACATCTGAAATTTTTCATTACTAATTGCTTGTTTATATTATTCATGCAATTGTACTTATAAATATGGATTGAATAGTTTTAAAAATTGAGATATAATTTTCAAGATTATCCTTCATATAAAGCAGTACTACAGACTGGAAAGTATTTAGCAGTTGCTATATTATGCAGAAATTTGATTCCGTTTTAGCATATTAGTAGATAGACAAACACGATCAATACTAATTTTAAATTAAATTTAATCTTTAAATTAGTATTATTTTTCTTTCATTGCATTTTCAAATCGTCTCCTTACTTGAGCAAGTATCGATAATTTTTTGCAGCCTTGCTTATAATACATTGATAGTTAATAATGCAATTAAGAACCAACCTTAGAGCTCAAAATTACAATTTTGGATCTAAATTAAAAACCACATTTTACTGTGCGTGATAAGTTAGATTCCTCGTTAATATAACTTACAATTTATTTTGTTCTCTCTCTCTCTCTCTCTCTCTCTCTCT